AACAGCCTGTGTAATTGTTTGAAAATTTGGTTTTTCCTTGTGTGAAGCTTCTGCCTGCCAAAAAGTATTCCCCAACCTAATGTTTTCTAAAATGTGCCACCTTTTGGGTAATTGAACATGCCTGACCATTTGCTGCATGTCCCAGAGTTAGGTTTTCATTCCCTAATCCTTTATCAGGCTGCTCTCAACATATCAGTAAGGGCCAACAGTCTTTTCAAATGGCTGTGTGGCTGTACATCAGGGGTATATATATACTGTGTGTATATATATTCATAGAAAGTGAAAAACTAGTTAAAAGCAAAAATAAATTGGAAACAAACATCAGCAGACCGTTGTGGGGGATGTATTTAATACACAAGCCAATTTTAAAATACCTAACTTGAACTGAGTGACAGTTAAACAAAGTTTAATCAAGCTTTTCCAAAGTAAGAGAAACTAGCAGTTTTTCTGAGTAATTCTTTTAATGACATTGATAAGTTTTTGCTAGGAGAACAATGCTGCACAAAGTCTTCCAAATTCTCTATACTTGTGAATAATTGTTGGTTACCCTTGTAAGTTGTGTGATGGTATGAGGTGGGAATTATATATGGACATAATACAAAAGCATGGCATTATAGTACATGAACAAGCATAGGACATGTCACATCTACAGTAATAATAACAGTATATTTAAAACTAAAAATGTGCGTCTTTGGCAAGACTGTATTTTTTAAAGCCATGCTTTCCCCAGTCTGGGAGATTCCCCCCCCCCCCCCGTAGACTTGCACCACCTTCCACTTCCTATAATAATTTAACATTATTATATTTGGACTAAGTCTTTGATATCTTGCATAAACCATATTCCCAGGTAATTACCATATTTTTCGCTCTATAACACGCACCCGACCATAACACGCACGTAGTTTTTAGAGGAGGAAAATCCGTAGGCATGCCACCCGTAGGCATTCCCTCCATAACACGCACAGACATTTCCCCTTACTTTTTAGGAGGAAAAAAGTGAGTGTTATGGTGCAAAAAATACGGTAATTGGAAAATCTCTTCATGGGATTATATATTTGGGTATTTTTTCTTTCACAGGCCTACCCATGCTAAAGCTTTCCATTTGGGTTTGTAAAATTGTTTTTATAAACGGAGACTTCACTAAAATCTTTAATCAAAATTAATAACTTTTAAAGTGAATTATCGCTATTAGTTACAAATAATGCTGCATAGTCTGTGAGTAAGTTGACTTTACATTCCTCGAATCCTACTTTAACCCCCTTAACTGTTTTATTACATTTTGTGGCTTCAGCTAAGGAGGCAATAAAACAATAATGGAGTGGGAGAAGCCCTGTTGTGTTTCTGTTTTTAAATACAATATATTTGAGTTTATCTCATTAACAGAAACAAAAGCACCCTAATTTGCATAGATTATCGTAACTCTTGTGGGAAAAGTTGACATAATCCAATATTTTTATATATTTATTAATAAAGATTTTTTTTTAAGGCTCAGTTTACTGTTGCTGTCAAATGAGCCGTCCTTCAGAGGAAGTGCAGCCCCTCATATTGGTTGGATATAACAGATCCTAATGTACTATACAGATCCTAATGTACTATATTTTACAAATGGACTTTCCATTCCACTCCTGAAGTTTAATTTTTGGAATAGTAAAACTGTCAAATCGTTCAAATCGCAGAAAATTGTCATAGAAGCAAGTTGTCAAAGGAAACTACTCCTTGCTTCTGCCCCCACCCCTACTTTTCTTTCTAAAATGCTTCTTCACCTTAGACTTGTGGCTAAGAAAAAAAATGCATAGACTTTTTTACCATGATGGCCAAGATTGCTAAACCAAAAGCAAAGTATTCTTGGAATGTTTTCTTTGGATCAGAATGTCCATTCTTTACCATCACTTGGCTGTTCCAAAGGCACACCATCTGGGCTGGTCCAAGTTTATATACATGCCCATGTGATGTATCACTCAAATGTTGTCGATTCCACAATATGCTTCCAAAGCACACATCTTCCAAATGATGGATGGATGAGTTGCATGAAGGCATTGCGCAACAGGGTGAGCACAACCCCATTTTGTTGTTGAAGTGCTGATTTCCTCCCATGACTCTTCTGTCATATGTTGACTGAGAGCTGTTGGAGAAGGAGGGGTACTGCAGAAAGGATTTATCTTCATTTCTGTCATCCCCCAGTGTTTATTATCCAGTGATAGACAGACGCAGGAAAGTTGCCAATCAAACCCACGTTTACTGCATTTCAATTGCCCTTCAGCTTCCACTTCAGCATTTTGAAATCTAAATAATCTTTGAATAGAGGTTGTGCTTCCCCCCCCCCCACAGCAGTGGCAAGGAGCAGACCATTGAGCTTTCATCAGTGCTAAAATACTTCTACTGGTCACTTTAAGTTAGGAATGGTTGATGCTACAGGTTTTTGGACTACAGCTCTAATCATTTCTGACTCTTGGCCATACTAATGGGGGTTTGAATACAAGAGCACCTGAAGGGCCACATGTTCCTATCCTTGCTTTTATGTAGTTGCAATTAATATTTTATCCACTGATTTCTGCTAACAGTCCATGTAGCCTCTAAGGTCCTGGGCCAGGAAGCAACATGGCTGAGTAAAATGATGTTAACTTCTTATGTTTGCTCAGTACTGTTTGGTTCTTACATTTGCTTTACCTGCATATCCTACAAATGCAACTGAAATTACTATACAGTGGTACCTCGGGTTAAGTACTTCTGGAGGTCCATTCTGAACCTGAAACTGTTCTTAACCTGAAGCACCATTTTAGCTAATAGGACCTCCTGCTGCCGCCGCACTGCCGGAGCACGATTTCTGTTCTCATCCTGCAGCAAAGTTCTTAACCCGAGGTACTATTTCTGGGTTAGCGGAGTCCGTAACCTGAAGCTTATGTAACCCGAGGTATCACTGTATAGACCAAGCAGTGTATTGTGGAGAACAGGTCTGCTGTGGCAGAGTGCACATTACGAAAGCCCTATTTTTGCTAGGACATACTGTATTCCTTAAACTTGTTGTGGAATTAGGTGGCTGCCTAAAATTGACTAGTTCGTGCAAAAGGGCTGATAGATGCATTTTAAAAATCTCCCTCTTCAATTCATTGTCTCTCTTTCCTTTTGGATTTCTTTTTCATGTGTAAAATATATATATATGAGGACATTAGAGTTCCCCCTCCCTGTGCCTTTCTTTCACAGTACTCTGCTTCTTGCTAGGTTTTGATAAGCAGAGGCCAAAGGGAGAGAAGAATGGAAAGAACATAGACAACTAGGCCTGTTCACCTTGCATGCTTTCATGCCTAGTAGTGCATAGCAAACTTGAATCATCTGCCAAAACAATTGGACTGTCTGGCATGTAGCACAGTCTGAATTACTGGATTTTATTTTTATTTTTTTGTTCAGCATTGGAGTTGCAAATTCTCCTGTAGCTTCCTTCAAGGAATATAGTTATTGAAATATAATGTTCACAATGTTTTAGCTAACTGCAGGCTTCACAAGATCTAAGGGGGCAATTCAAACTGCCAGCTGGCATCCTCAGGGCTGAATGGAGAGGGGTAGATGGGCAGAAAGTGGTGGAGAGTGGAAGGGAAAAAATATTTGCTTTTCCAGCTCCCAGACTGATGCAGTCACATGTTGGACCAGCTCAGGATCCAGCAAATCCTCTGCTGGCGGCGCAGAGGGGGCTTCTAGCCAACTCTGCTGAATACCAGTTCTGCTAACCACTGGAAGGGAGAGTGTTGTTGCACCGTTGCTCTCAAGTCCTACTTGTGTGCTTCCCATATGTATCTCATAGGCCACTGAGAAAGCAAGATGCCTGCTCCAGAAGGCTCTTCTCATGTCGGGGCAAGCGCTTTGGAGCACTGCTCAGTGATGAAACCGGGCAGGGCTAGGAGGATCACCTCTCCCTCATCCAAACACCATTCTGCATGGTACATTTTGGTGGGGTGGGGTGAATTGCTATGTCTGACAGACATGGCACTGCCTCTTCTCCTCAAAACTCTCCTTTTCCACATCACCTTTAGCTTTATCACATTTATGTTTATTTTTAGCTGCAACTGATCTTTGAAAAATAAATGTAACTGTCTTTTCCCATATTCTTCTCAACACTTGACTCTCACACCTTTTGCATTCCCCATTGTCTTATTTTAGATTGTAAACTCCTTGACAACAGAGACCTGACTATTTTTGCCCATGTATTTTTGCCTGTTTTGACCATTCTATGTTAAGGCATTAGGTAGTGTAGCTGTATGGACAGAAAACCTAGAAAGTTATGCTTCCTTGGCACTAGGGATGCCACTGTTGGAACCTTAAAGGTTCCAAGATGGCAGAGGTATTGGCTGGCTTAGATGGCAGTCTCCTTCAGGAAGGAACTTTTTAGAGTGAATATATGCTTGGATCATAACACAGCAGCATATTGGCACAGGCACAGATTGATTGTGCTGTGAAACAATAAAAATAAAAGACTTTGGAATACATGCCCTGTGGAAACTTGGATGACACCAATAATTTGTTCTTTAGCCTGGGTTTTTTTCTGGGTAACATTCTTGGATATTGCTTCTGTTAGCTTTACAGATGAATTTAATGTGTTCTTTCTGTATTGATGCTGTATTAGATTTTTTATTTTATAAATTATTTAAATAAAATAAATTCACTGTCATGTTATCTTCATTTTAGTGCAGGATTATGTATTATAGTTACTGGTTTTGCAATTTTTCAGTATTTTTCACAATTCCAGGGTGAATACAACTCTGTAATCCTGACGATTTATTGTTGCTTACCATTTAAAGTCTTCCAATGATGTTATCGTTTGACTGGGTTTTTAGATGCATCTTTCTTATTTCTTTGGCTTTCATGCGTCCTCTGACTTGCCTCTTTGATTTTGCTAAGGAGTCAAAAAAACCTTTGGACTTCATCCCTTCCAGCTGGTGTGTTTTGATTGCTTTGTTTACTAAATCAGTCGTTCAACTTCACTAATCTTCTTTTCATTTTGTCCCTAGGGGCTGTGATTGGAGATGGGCAGTCTGCTGTAGCGAGTAATATTGCCAACACCACCTACCGGCTTCAGTGGTGGGATTTCACCAAATTTGACTTACCTGAAATAAGCAATGGTAAGCTGGAAAGGGAGCCGAATTGCAAAGGCAACTTGTGAAGCAGGAGGAGAGGGAGATTGCCGTTCTGTCAATGACAAACCCGTTGTTCATACAGACATAGCATACATAATCCTTTATAATTTCAATCGTTTACTGAATTTTGCCAAATTCTCCTCTTGAACATGTCAAGGTGAGAGGGCAGCTTCTGCTCATTGTAAAACACCACTCAAGCTTTATGCAGCTCACCTTTTCACAGCACTTAGCAGCAAGCTGTAGTTCTTTCATGATCTCTGTGCAGTCTTATTTATGAGCTCTTCATTTTGTTAACTGTTTTACCTCAGTGATCAGTGCACTTGATGCCCGTGGGGTACAATCATGGCTTCAGCTGGGTGCCTGTGGTGCAATGAGCACTGTGGGTTTTTTTAAAAAAAGTGTATGCGCTTATACCAAGTCAGACCACTAGTCTATCTAGTCATGTGTATATTGACTGGCAGCAGCTGGCCAACCTTTCAGATGGGATTTTTTTCTCGGCCCTCTGGAAATAACAGGATTTAAACCTGGCATATTCTGTATTTAATGCATTGGCTGTAACATTGAGCTGCTTCTGCTTCTGCTCTGGTGCCATTTGGTGGCAAAGGGGTCATCCCCCGCCCCCCAGTAATCACAGCTAGTCAGGGATTAATGCTGACATCATGATGCCATGATGCAATTTATCCAGTCAGCTTTGATTAAACTGCAATGTTGCTGAAGGCAAATAACGCCAATAGTTTGTGTCATTTAAGGAAATTGACTCACTGAAGACTTGGCAGTGTGCTTGCTCCCTGTCTTTGGGAGCCACATACTGCTACTCCACCACACTGACACATAGCCCCACTCCTCTGCGGATCCATGTAGATCAGATGAGGAGGATGGGTTATCACTTCCTTCCTGCTCATGAAATGGCTGAGGATGGGGTGATTTGCATCCCCAATGGAGTGCTGAGCTGGGTGTAGAGGTTTAACCCTAATCTGGTTACTAGATGACAGGTGGGGAACTTTTTTGGCTCCATGGGTCTGATCTTGTCAAAATGGCTTAGCAAAGCACCTTTTGAAACATCCTCTCCCCTCCTTTAAAGGGGAGAATGTTTTAACTGCATGCTTGCAATGGAAGTGAGATAATTGTTTTAAAACAATAAAGCAGCCTTTGAAGCAGCCTCCCATCACCACTCTGCCTTATAGGAAGGGAATTCCTGTTTCAAATGGTGTTTTACGTTGCTGCTCCTTTAAGCGGGTGGCAGCAGTGGTGTGAACTCCAATGCCACCTCCCTCCCTCCCTCCCTCCCTCCAATTTAAAGAAGAAGGACTTTAATTTCTGCTCATCGGTTGGTGTGTGGAGATTAAATCCTGCTCCCTGTTGTTCCCTGCTGGTAAAAATAATAAAACAATAAAATTATCAATAAAAGAATGCGTATTAAAAACATTTTAAAAAATTACAAATCAGTGATATACTGAAAACCAGATTAAAACACATGTCAACATTCTACATGTCTGGATTTGCTTGCCTAAGCAAAAATGTTTTTAGCAGGCTTTGAAAAGAGTACAGTGGAGGTGTCTGCTTGATGTGTCAGTAGGCAAGAACTTCAGAAATCAGTTCCCAACAGTACCTCTAGAAAATCTTATTATAAAACAGTTGTTTCCAGGAGACAAACCAGAAAAGGTGCGGCCTCTAACAAGTATGCAAAATGTGTTTTATTTCATAATTGAGGGTTGTTGTTTTACAATCAAGTGGTATTTAGATTTTATGAAACAGATAAAGTAAAATAATAATTGCACTAAAAGTAGCAGGTACGGAATGGCAGCACAGAGGTTCACCTTCATGGACACTTACAATTTGGCGGCAGTAATCTTGCTAAAAAATTAGCATATGTCACAGCAGCTTTGTAATAGGAGCGGCTGTCAGAAGACTCAAGTAGTAGACTTTAAAAAGCTGATGTGACTCACAGCTAATCATGACTGCTAGATTCATGCTTTCTGAAATCAGGAAAGCTAGATATAGGCTTGAACAGAGTGAGAATGGATTTTGGTATGAATAAAACAGACCCCTTTTGAGAAGAGAAGAGAAACTTGTATGGTTAATTAAATAATCAGAAATTTTAAGTCTCTATTTAGCAGCCATATCATAAAATGTCATCCCATCATGTGCTTATTTTCCTAATACTAGAGTGAATAGTATATGTCCTTTCCCTTTAACATGGGATTCTTAGTCAGAGGAGTTGAATATGTGATCTTGTCTTCCATGGAACAGTTTAAATGAAAGCCTTTTAAATTCTCTTAAGTCTTTCAGGATGGGGGGGGGATTGGCAATTTCAGAATTTGGATTTTGACTCCAATTCCAGTAAACATAGTGCAGTCCTTTGCCTGCATTGATGTGATTTCTACCACATTCCATGCCTTCTCAGATATTAGGTGGTCAGTGTTACACATGATTGCTTGCATGTGCACCATATTAAGTTTTAAGTGGTGAACATGTAGCTAATGCTACTTTGAGGCCATCATTCAACTAGTAGCTAGAAATCCTGTCTCTCATGTTAACATAAGTCAAGGTTTAATTGAGAGTCAATAGTGGTTATTTGATAAATGTGTCTCCTGCTAATTCACCACACAACAGATTGAAAATAACCCAATTAGAAATGAAATGTTAAACAGGAATTGAGATGTGTAAAAATAAACAGCCCATAAGAAAAGCCAGTTGTTGAGAATCATCAGAGTATTGTGGTTGCCACTAATAGTCGTGTTTTCACAAGAAACTGAGTGTGTCTCTCGCTGATAGTTCTGGATCTCCCTCCGTTTTATACTTAAGTGTTCCTTGGTGTCCCAACTGATCTTTGATCTTGGCATCATTAACAATGTAAAAGAAAACCAGAGATGAAAGGCAGTCGAGTTGCAACAATTTCCCTGAAGTAGACAATTCTTCCTCCTCTAAATGATCACGTTAGCGAATGTTTCATTAGCGCAGATTCTTCACTTCTGAAAGCATCTTGCTAGAAACATGTTAGTCTATATATTTTAATGTGAGGGCGGGGGCATCAGCAACAGTGGCGTTGAATGTTAGGAAAACAAACTAGGCAAAATACAGTGGTGCCTCGCAAGACGAAATTAATTCGTTCCGCGAGTTTTGTCGTCTTGCGATTTTTTTCGTCTTGCGAAGCACGGTGTCGGAAAAGTTTTGGAAAAGCTTCAAAAATCACCAAAGTCTTCAAAAACCTCAAAAAAGGCTACCACACCACGTGCTATGAGTTGCTCCTCGAAGTCAAGTCGCAACTGTATTAACAGTGTTAAGAAAAAGGAAACAAACTTGCAAGACGTTTCTGTCTTGCGAAGCAAGCCCATAGGGAAAATCGTCTTGCGAAGCAGCTCAAAAAACAAAAAACCCTTTCGCCTTGCGAGTTTTCCGTCTTGCGAGGCATTCATCTTGCGAGGTACCACTGTAGAGTGTGAGGGAAATTACAAAGCTGGTTTGGCTGATTCAAAACCCTAATGTTGATTGTACAATAGGAGAAGTTGTGTGGATAAAGTAGGCAGACTGAGGAGCAAGAGGTTCTAGAAGGAAGAAGAAACTATGGGGCAAAAAGGGTGGATGACCAAAGTGGGCTGAGTGAATGAGGTAGGAGGAGGTTGAGGAAATAAAAAGGTAGCAAAGCCAAGGACTGTATAAGAGGAAGGGTAAATATAGGGAGGTAGAGAAAAACCTCAAAATAGGGCCTAAAAACAGGAGAAACTGAGAACCATTGTACATTAAACAAAGCAAGACTGATTTAGACAGTGGGACGAAAAAGCAGGAAACAGCGAATAGTAGAGTCACGTTGCTGAAGAAAAGGCCAAATAAAAAAGTTGCACTGGGGACCAACAGTTGCATTTTAGAAGAAGGGCAGAGAAGAATTGGGTGTGCAAGAAATCTCTGGAAGACAGAGGGCTGTGGGGCAAATAGCCCAGTTGGATACAGTGGTACCTCAGGTTACATACGCTTCAGGTTACATACGCTTCAGGTTACAGACTCTGCTAACCCAGAAATAGTACCTCGAGTTAAGAACTTTGCTTCAGGATGAGAACAGAAATCGTGCTCTGGTGGCAGCAGGAGGCCCCATTAGCTAAAATGGTGCTTCAGGTTAATAACAGTTTCAGGTTAAGAACGGACCTCTGGAACGAATTAAGTACTTAACCTGAGGTAACACTGTATATGGTTTCCAAGTCTGTCATGCAGAAGCAGCAGGTATCTTTTAAAAGATGCATAGAAGGAGAAATTCTTCCAGCTCCAACTTTTTCTGCTGCTTCAGTAACATGATGAGCTGGCAAAATAAATAAATAAATCGTATGCAACGTTTTCCTCTTGTGGATTAGAAACCGTAGGGAGGGAGTGGCAACGTAGTGGTTGTGAGGTGAGATCAAATCCACCCTGGAAGAAAGAAGGCAAGGCAAGACCTAGGCTGAGCCAAGTTCAATCTATAGGATATGAAATATAAGCATTGTAAATGGTGATAACAAGCTTGGCTCTCTGTTTGCTATCTGTGGCCCTATCCTATAACAAGATTAGTCCTCTGGTGGTTGACTGATGTTGTGTGTGTGTGTGTGTGTGTGTGTGTGTGTGTGGCAAATTTGGAAGAAATTCCCACTTCCTTTCAGGTCCCAATTACATGTGAGGGAAAGAAGCAGTGCAGTATCTACCCTGCCGTAAGATTGGACCCAATCTCTAATGGTAGAATTGTAGCAGTCCTCAGAACATAGCTCCCACAATCCCCTGGGCTTTATGTCTCAATCAGCACATAAGGGTAACAGTGAGGAGTGGTAGTGGTGGGAATGGCAGAAATCCCCCTGTGTGTTCACCACTTTTTCTCTCTCTTCCCTATCACTTGCAAGAGAAGGGGAGAGTAGATTTTCTGAAGGGTGAGCACTGGTGGAGATGGCCATGGGGTGCAGAAGACTTGAGAGGGTTGTAATACTCATTTCAGGTAGGTTATTCAAATCCCTAATGTTATTCTCTGAACCTGAACTTGGAGAAGTTCCCAGACATCAATAGGTAAAAGTGGCAGCAGTTGGCTGGAGTTTGGATGTTGAAGGAGAAAGAAATGAGTGTGTTTAACTTAACAGACATGACGAACCTGTATGTGGTGGCACCAAAATGGGCTTTCTCACATAATTATATTAGTATGTTCATTTACTACCTATGTATGTAATTCCAATACTTCCAAAAGAATTTCTTGGCTTCTCCTGCATTGGTCGCAGATGTCCACAAATTCTTAAATGTGCCAATTTGTCATCATTCTGCCCTTCATTGCATTGTCATAGCAACGACTGCAGTTGATATTATGCAATAATATAAGGAGAGTAACGAGGCAAGAAATGCTTTTTTTATTATTGTCAGATCTAATGCTTTTAATTTTCAGCTTTGTGAACAGCTATTTCTCAGGGACCAAAGTGCTTCATTCATGCTTGGTTCTAAGAGTGCATGGATCTCCAATCCTCATGTTTGCCATCTTCTTCTTGAGAGATATTGTAACCCAGCAAGACAAGTAATGCCTCTGAACAGCTTTGGGAAAGCCCAAGTTCCACAGCCTTTTGTATAAAATGCAGTGTTTTTTTTATGGGTGTATTTTCTATTCTCCCTTATTTCCAGCTGAAATTGTTGATCCTTCTTTTTTCTTTTTCAGCCTCTGTGAATGTGCTTGTTCAGAACTGCAAGATATACAATGATGCCAGTTGTGATATTTCTGCAGACGGGCAGCTCCTGGCAGCCTTCATTCCTAGTAGTCAACGGGGCTTTCCTGATGAGGGAATACTGGCAGTATATTCCCTAGCACCACATAACTTGGGCGAGATGCTGTACACAAAGCGATTTGGTAAGAGCTCATTGACGGGTCAAGTAGTTTGGGGCAGGGGGTGGGGAATCGGGGTTTTAATACTTGGATACACTTCGAAATGAAAATGGCATGTTCCAGAGATCAAACTGATAAAACAGTAGATTTCATACATCACAGCAAACCATAAACCATGACCTACCTTGAGCATGAGTACACACTACTGAATCACTTCTGTTTCTCCAGACCTTTCCTGAAGTTTGGAGCAAGAAACCGCAAGCCCTGGCTTTCTGTGAACTGCAATATGCTCTACCTAAACAATGGGAAATTGCTTTAGAGTCTATATAAAATGTTTCTTTAGATTTAAAATTGAGATTGATTCTGCAAAAAGGCATTGTCTAATTCAGATAGATGCTGGAAATGCAATGCTGAGACACATGTTGTAATCCTGTAGGAGGAAATTGAGGGTGGCGGGTTCTGAAGTTGTAGTCACCTCCAATTTTGTATTGGCAAAATCCTTGAAATTTGTAGGTGTTTATGTAATTCTAAATTATATTCCTCTAGTATGGGGATCAACAACAGGATGGCAAGAATGGATCTTATATGCCCTAATAATCACTAGGATATTATATCTAGGATATTATGAGTCTGGAAGGATAAATATCTGCCACCTCTAATGCAATGTTTTGATGACCTTAATACTCTTGTCACATTTTAGTGTACTTTCTATAAACACTGACTTTGCTTGGATACATATTTGGACAGCATATATTGATCTTCACGTATAAACTAAGGTGGATGTATTTATGTTTAAATGTTTTGTTAATGTGAGCTGCTGGGTTTTCCTCCCCTCCCTGTATTTTTTGCCTTTTTGTTTTCTATTTCTTTTGTCTTTAATGATTCTGCAATAAAAAATAATCTTCTTGCAGATTATTAACTGGTGATCTTGCATGGTTGTTTTTACAAGGATTCATAGAGTGAATTTGTTATAGCCCCAGTTGCAGAAATTGACATGAAGGAAGGTAGAAATCATCACGCAGGTCTGTAAGTGAAGAAAGCAAATATGTATTTGTGTTTATCTCTAGGTCCCAATGCTATTTCTGTGAGCCTGTCCCCAATGGGCAGGTATGTCATGGTAGGACTGGCATCCCGTCGCATCCTCTTGCACCCTTCCACAGAACATATGGTGGCTCAGGTCTTCAGGCTGCAGCAGCCACATGGAGGAGAGACCTCAATGAGGGTAAGTAGTATAGTATTTCTTTGCTTCTCCAACTATTTATCTCTATGTCTGTATTATTGTTTCATTGTCTTACAACTTGGCATGTTTACGTGGAAGTAAATACTACTGTGTTGTGTAAGGCAGTGGCTTCCAGCCTTAGTTATGTGTTTAAATTTCAGTGTCCAGTGTCTTAGTTTCACATAATAAGCAGCGGCGGAGCTGCCTGCAGCGAGTGTGCATGGCACGCCCCAGAGAGGGGTGGGGCATGGAGGGCGCCCTCCGCGTGCCACAGTACAGGGTTAGGAGAGGGGCGGGGAAGCTGCTGCCCACTCTCCTCCTACTCTCTGCCGCCGAGTCAGGCCTGACCCTGCAGCGGAGCTTCTGCAGCCAGGCCACGGCCGAGGAAAGCAGACAGCAGCTTTGCCACCCACTCTCCCCCTGCTCTCCGCCTCCGGGTCAGGGGGAGGTAGTGCTGCTGCGGCTGGACGTGCCTCACCACGGCCGAGTTAGGATGTTCTCCGCCGCTGGGCCAGAAGTGACCTAGCGGCAGAGCTGCTGCCACCGGACATGAGGTGTGCCTGCTCTCCTCTCCTGGGTCAGGCCTGACTCAGGGGCGGAGCTGCGTCAGGCACAAGCACCACAGCCAAAGCGCAGCTCCTTTGGCACAGAGCCAAGCTCAGATGAAGGAGCCTGCTGTGGGGATGCCTGTTTCTTCCCCTTCTCAAAATTGCACCTGGGGCCACAGCACCCACAGCACCCCCCACAGCGTACCTCTGATAGTAGGTACCACTGTGGGAAAAAACAGTTTTCTAAATCAAATAGCATTAAAAGGCTATATAACTTGAAAATGAGTAGATTACCAGCTAAGCATTTGATGATGTTTGTTTGTTAAATATTTATTTCTTGTCTTGCTTCCATCATGGAAGCCAAGGTGGTGTGTATATGTTGTTCAAAAGTAGTAGCCCATCCAGGCACCGACCACACCAAGTCCTGCTTAGCTTCAGCAAGGTAGTGGTCTCATTTGCCTTGAGACCATGTTGTAGCGCCATTAGTTTTATCTAATGGTAATGCTCTGTGTTTCGTTATATTAGTGGTCTGCAAGGTCCAGTCTGAATGGGGGCAATTCTAGAGCAAGGAATCCATCTTAACCATGGATTACTCAATGGCATTTGATAAATTATTATCATTCAGCCGTAGTTATCCTTCAGTAAAATAGAAAAAATCCACTTCAGAAGTACCACTTACAATGTGCTTTATAAATGAATAATATTTATTTAGTCGGAACATAAATTAGAAGGGTATTACCTGCTTTAAGATTTCCTATTTGCAACCAATGTTGCTTTCATCATCTGGGAACCAGTAAACTTAGACTGTTAGCCCTTCAGTGTCAGGGAACCACATCTCAATATAATTGCTACTTGCCCTGAGCTCTTTCGATAAAAAGAAGCTGTAAGTCTAACTAGAGCTCTTCCCTGAACAGACCAATTGATTAAATTGGGAATTGCCTGAACTTTTAAAAATGCTATTCTGAATAAAGTTTCCTATATTATTTATAGGTTAATCAACCTATGCATGCATTATCATTTTGAGATTAAACAGCGTCTCCAGGAATATACAAGTGACTCCTGAAAAATAAGTTGAGAAAGAATAAGAATGTTGTGTGTTAATGCTTGTATATACACAGTACTTCCCCTGCACACAAAAACAGTTAACACAACTAAGTTCTTATGTGTTGCAGCAACTTTATATCTTGCTGGTGGAGTTCCCTTAGTATTGAATAATACTTTTTTTTTAACTAATAGTACTTCGTAACATTATCATTCATACACTCTCATATACTGTATTCTCAAAGCAGACGAAATAAACACTTTTATTTTTATTAGATTTTTGTTTTCAGTTAGGTTTCGTCAGTGGTAGTGGCATTGGTGTTAATTCTGGCCATCTATAACTCATGGAAATGTTTGGCAATGTTTCTATAGTTGAGTGCAACAAGAATTTAGATACAATAAAGCAATGCATTCTAGTTACCGGTAAAAGAAAACAAGAAAGAGAGCCAGATTACAATTACATATTGCTTCGGATGTGTGGCATTATTCCAAACTAAAGACTTACCTAAATCAAGTGTTCATCACCAGTCCCTGAAAAACCAGAAGAGAAGAGATTGAATAGAATAGAATCATAGAGTTGGAATAGACCACAAGGGCCATCGAGTCCAACCCCCTGCCAAGCAGGAAACACCATCAGAGCACTCCTGACATATGGTTGTCAAGCCTCTGCTTAAAGACCTCCAAAGAAGGAGACTCCACCACCCTCCTTGGCAGCAAATTCCACTGTCGAACAGCTCTTACTGCAGGAAGTTCTTCCTAATGTTTAGGTGGAATCTTCTTTCTTGTAGTTTGGATCCATTGCTCCGTGTCTGCTTCTCTGGAGCAGCAGAAAACAACCTTTCTCCCTCCTCTATATGACATCCTTTTATATATTTGAACATGGCTATCATATCACCCCTTAACCTCCTCTTCTCCAGGCTAAACATGCCCAGCTCCCTTAGCCGTTCCTCATAAGGCATCGTTTCCAGGCCTTTGACCATTTTGGTTGCCCTCCTCTGGACACGTTCCAGTTTGTCAGTGTCCTTCTTGAACTGTGGTGCCCAGAACTGGACACAGTACTCCAGGTGAGGTCTGACCAGAGCAGAATACAGTGGCACTATTACTTCCCTTGATCTAGATGCTATACTCCTATTGATGCAGCCCAGAATTGCATTGGCTTTTTTAGCTGCCGCGTCACACTGTTGGCTCATGTCAAGTTTGTGGTCAACCAAGACTCCTAGATCCTTTGCAACCTGGGAAAGAAAATTTACCCATCTAGATTAAATAAAAACCCTGGTAGGGAAAGGACTGAAATAGTTCCTGAAACATCTTAGTTATTTAGTGTTCACTTTTTTTGAGAGAGAAAAGAAGAGCTCTTTCTCTGTCAGTGGCCTCATTCACACGTAATGCTAAGCCAAGTTTAATGTTATGTTTGAACCCAAGTTTCTTGTCTCTTTCCCCCAGCCCCCCCCAATGATATAAGAACCAAACTTTGGTTAAAGTTTGTGGCTTGTTTGGACTAAGACAAACGAGAAGCCTGAGTTTGGACGTAACACTCAGCCAAACTGTGGTTTAGGTATGGGTAGCGCAGGAGAAGGAGGAGAGAAGTGAAGTGACTGATTTTTTGAACTGGGCACTAGCATGCTCCTTGTTCACCTTGGGGTGGCATTATGTGAGGTCCCGGTTGTTGCTTCCTCAAAATCAGCCATTGCTTTGGCTTTTCTCCTTCCCTGGCTGATCCTGATCAGTCATGTGTATGATTTCACAGTGCTTCATAACCAGATTTGACTATATGCTGTTCATTTGTTATAAATATTTATTACCTACTGTTCACAAAAAATCAAAGGTACAATAAAAATAAACATATAATTATATTTAAAATAAAGAATAAAACAGAAAAGTTAAAAGACCACAGCATCAGTTACAGAAGGGAAAACGTGACTGAAGGCAGAAAGAGAATTCAGAACAGTGCTTCCTCAACAAATATATACTTTGTCTCCTTTTGCAGTGGTTTCCCAAAAATTACCCCTATTTTAATCTCAGTCTAGTTATGACCTCTGGCTGGCTGGCAGCTGGGCACTTCGGAATAGATTCCAGAATTAGAATTGCATAACTGATAAAGCAAGAAAAAACGTTTTTCCCTAGTGCTCAGTGTCTCTTCTGAACTTTTCATCTATTTTAGCAGCATTGTTCCTACCATAAATTTAGTTCTTTGGGGAAATGCAGGGAACATACCAGCTTCTTACGTTCTGGTTAACTGCTTAGATTTCACTCTTGTTTCTATTGTTAGTTTGCAAACTGTTCAAAATGCAGAGAAATTAGTACTTTAGAACTGCTCACTTAATGATTTAACAAAGTCTGGAGCAGATCTCAGTGTTGTTGCCAAGGAAGAAACTGCTGCTTGTGACTGTTATTGGAACCTTGAAGTAGCTTTCCCATTTCCAGCTATTTGATTTCATTAACCTTATGATCTTTTCCATGTAAGTATAGATAAGATCCTAACATCCTAACTCACGTATTGTGGAATAATTTTAGAGGAGCACCCTGATGATAAGATTATTCAGTGAAAATTGTCTTCACAGACTTTACTATAAATTAATCTCTTTGTAGATCTGTGACGAGCATGATCCCTGTAGATTAATTATTCAAATAACCTGTTGTATTCAGCCTGAATTATCATTTTGAGTTTTATCTCATTGATTCTTATCTAGTTTCATTTTTATTATGAGTTTAGCATTCAATTTTATTGGTCACTTTCAATCTCTCTTGAGAGCTTCCTGTTTCTGGCATGTCTCAAAAATTTAATTACTATGCACACATTAATACCCACACCAGTTTACAATTAACTGTGAAAGTTGTGCTGCTCACACTTTCCTTCAGACCTTTTTGAACAGATAATCAGACTATACTTGTGGAACTCCAGTTAATCTTCTGTAATACCTGATTATGCTTTGGAAAACCACACTTAAACAATGTTGTGTGCCCCTTCATGCTAACTCCTTCAAGTCTAATGGTAGTGTGGATTTGTTCCTTATCTCTTGCTCTAAAGGTTACATGAGAATTTGATTAGGAAGTAACATACAGTGGTACCTCTAGTTACGAACTTAATTCGTTTCAGAGGTCCGTTCTTAACCTGAAACTGTTCTTAACTAGAGGCATGCTTTCGCTAATGGAACCTCTTGCTGCCACTGTGCCGCTGGCACACAATTTCCATTCTCATCCTGGGGCAAAGTTCTCAACTCGAAGTAACTCTTCCAGGTTAGCGGAGTTTGAAGCGTTTGTAACCTGAGGCATTTGTAACTCAAGGTACCACTGTATTAGTTCCACACCGCCACCAGTATACATTTGGCTTCTGGTCTTTTCCAGCCTAGTACTGTCTATTCTTTAAAAATGTTAAGAGTATTTATTTCTACTAATATGATGTTCCTCTTCCCC